TTTACACCTGGTTTCTCAGCATCCTTTAGAAGAAAGTATCCATTACATAACATCCATTTTGTACTTGTATCTCACAAAGTAAAGTATGGTTCCTGTTCTTTCCTTTCTAGTCTTCATATCTGCTGATGTATCTCAGATGTCTAAAACATGCATGACTTGATCACCTGCTAATGCTTGTTTGTGGTTTTAAAATCCTTGACAAGCCAGGCATGGTGGCACATGCCTTAAACCCCAGCACTCAGGAGGCAGAGGGAGGGGGATCTCGTTGAGTTTGAGGCAAGCCTGGTCTACAGAGTTCCAGGATAGCCAGTGCTACACAGAGAAACCCTGTCTCAAAGGAAAAAAAAAGCCTTGACTGACTGTGTCATTATATGACCGATGAGCACATACACTCTTACACACAAATACAAACAAATCTTTGTTCAATGACCTTGACATAGTTGATGCTACTTGACTATGATTCATCTTCCTTCCTGCTCTTTGTTTTTTGACATAGGGCTTTTCTATGAAGCCCTGTCTGTCCTGGAACTCTCTCTGTAGACCAGGCTGGCCTCAAACTCACAGAGATCCGTCTGCCTCTGCCTCCGCAGTGTTGGGATTAAAGGTGTGCACAACCACCGCCTGGCATGATTACTTTTCTTAGCACACACTGGCTTTCACGGGTCTATCACTGATCTCTGCTCATATCCACTCTCTCCACCGTCCTCTGTCCTGCTGCTGGACCCTTCCTCATCCCTCGAAGTCCTTTGAATGAGACTGACATTAGGGAAAGCTAGATTCCATGTAGGAGAGAGAACACACCCACATGGCTACCCTCACACTTTTGTGTCCTGTATATATCTGAAAAGCTTTAGCGTCTGCATATGAGAAAATGAGTGGCATCTGCCTTTCTTTACTTTGACTCCATTACCCTGTTGTTTCCCATTACCAACTCTACTTTCCTATCTCTCACTCTCCTCTTCCTTAGATTGCAGGAAAAAACAACAAACAAAAACAAAGCAAAACAAAAAAACCCACAAGATACTTGTCTCCATAGTGATTCCCTGCAAGATGGAGAGTCAGTAAAGGGTTTTCTCCCACTTTGGAGAGTGCTGTTTCTTTTGTTGTCGGAAGGATTTTACTTCACCATGTGTCAACTCAGGCTATTATTTACTAGGCTAGTAGTCTCTTTTCAGTTTCAGGTCTTACAGAGAAGTTTTTACCCACATTGGGTAACTTTTGCATGAGGTGAGAGACAGATTAGCTTCAGCTATGTAGACTTCAGTATGTACACTTGGCAGCACCTTCCATTTGAAGAAGCGCTCTTTTCTCCAGTGTAATGTTCTGGCATCTTTGTTGAAAACCTGGTGGCTGTAGCTAGCCTCTGTGCAGTACCACGCTGTTGTTCCTATGGCTCTGAGGTATACTTCAGACCAGGTATTACAAAACCTCCCCCAAGTTGCTCTGTCTGCTTAGGGTTCTTTTAGGTACTTAGAATATTTTGTGCTTCCACATAAGTTTTTTGTTTTTTGTTTTTTTTTTTTTTTTGGTTTTTCGAGACAGGGTTTCTCTGTGGCTTTGGAGGCTGTCCTGGAACTCACTCTGTAGACCAGGCTGTCCTGGAACTCACAGAGATCCGCCTGCCTCTGCCTCCCGAGTGCTGGGATTAAAGGCGTGCGCCACCAACGCCCAGCTCCACATAAGTTTTAAAATTAACTTTAGTTCTAAAAAGAATGTTAATGGAAGGTGATAATGATGACACAATTTCCTGACTGCTTCTAGGAATACAAATATTTCCACAGTACTAATTTTGGAATCTCATAAGCATGGGGAATCTATTCTGACTGTCTTCTTTAGTGTAGTTGTTTCTTTTTAATTGTATTATTTTTTCATATTTATTTTTACTTATGTGTATTTCTATGTACACTTGAGTGTCCATGAAGACCAGAAGAAGACATCAGACTCCCAGGAGCTAGAGTTACAGGTATTATAAGTCACCTGATGTGGGTGCTGGGAACTGAACCCAGGGCCTCAGGAGAGCTCTATGTGCTCTTAAAGATACATTCATTCCCCAGGTGTCAGTGGTGCACGCACTTAATCCCAGCACTGGGCAAGCCTGGTCTACAGATCTATTATAGAGTTCCAAGACAACCAAGGCTACACAGACAAACCCTATTTCAAAACATCAAAAAAGCCGGGCGTTGGTGGCGCACACTTTTAATCCCAGCACTCGGGAGGCAGAGGCAGGCGGATCTCTGTGAGTTCGAGGCCAGCCTGGTCTACAGAGCGAGTTCCAGGACAGCCTCCAAAGCTACAGAGAAACCCTGTCTCGGAAAACCAAACCAAACCAAAAAAAAAAAGTCATTCCTTCAGCCCTAGCGCAGTGTTTTCAAAATTTCCATTGTGAAAGTCTTCTTTCTTTGATTAGGTTTATTCCTGGCATGCAGGGGTGGGGGAATATTGGTGTCTTCGTTACTGTGGCAGTAGGGACTGAACACACAGTGTGACTCACAGTGTGAATGTGCTAGTTTAGTGCCCAGCTTCCCCCGCTCCCTTTTTTTTTTCTGAGGCAGGGTTGCTCGGTCTGGCTGTCCTGGAACTCTGCCTCCCAAGTGTTGGGATGTGTGCTGTGATTAAGCTGAAGCTGTCTGTCACCATTGCCCAGCCCAGAACATTTTTTAAAGCTACTATGAATGCAAATTTTTTCGAGTCCCTTTCTTGGGAAATTCATCATTGGTATAAAGAAAAACTAGAGATTTTTTTTAAACACGTGTTTTGCTTACATGTATGCCTGTGTACCACATGCTAGCCTAGTGTCCATGCAGGAGGAGAGTGTCAGATTTCCTGGAACTGAAGTAACATGGTCATGGACCACCATGTGGGTGCTGGGAGACAAACCTGGGACCTCTTCAATAGCAGCTAGTGCTTTTAACACTGAGCCAGCCCTAGCTAAACTTTTTTTTTTAAGGTTTATTTTATTTATTATGCATATGATGCTCCATCTGCATGTTGGCTTGAATGGCAGAACAGGGCGCCAGACCCCATTACAGATGGTTGTGAGCCACCATGTGGTTGCTGGGAATTGAACTCAGGACCCCTGGAAGAGCAGTCAGTGCTCTTAACCTCTGAGCCAGCTCTCCAGCCCGTAAACTGTTTTGTTTTGTTTTTTAAATCTTCATTTTAGTTAGCCCTACAGGGGATCTGTTTCTTCTACCTTTATGAGTGTTCGTTTTCTTTAGCAAAGTGAAATTTGAGCTTTTCGTTTTCAAGCGTAGGCCACGTACTAAGAATATATTTGACAGTGACATTTCAAGTCATTGCTCCTCCCAACTCCCGTGGGATTGCCCATAGGGCCTTATGCACGTTATGCAAGCATTTTACCATTGAGCTACATTCCAACCTGGTTTTTTTTTTTACTGTTAATTTGGAGGGAAGGTCTTATCACGTTGCCCAGGCTGCTCCTAAAGACACTCTATAGCACAGAAAGAAGCTACACGCGTGATCCTCTTGCCTCAGCCTCCCAAGTAGTTGGGATCACAAACCTGAGCTGCCAGACATGGCAGGCTCTTACATTATGAAATGTTTTGTTTTATATAAGTGAATTATCATGCCTTTTATTGCCCAAGAAAAGTATGTAAGAACTCAAACTAGCATTCCTGTGTTAGGCAAACTGAATGCTATTTTAGTGAGATCATGTTTATTCTGGAATATAGGTTATTCAAAGTATTCCCTAGTAATTTTCAGGGATTACTGCCTGGCTCACCTAGCTTTCTTATACAGCCCAAGATAACCTGCCCAGGGAATGGTGCCACCTACATTAAGTTAGAGCCTCCATAATCAATGAACCCCCAGTAGACATGGTTGCCACACAACCTGACCCAGTTAATTCCTCAATGAGGCTCTCCTTTCAGATGACTTTAGGGTGTGTCAAGTTGATATCAAAGCTAAGCAGGACTAGAGCCGTCTTCCACTTTCAGGCCTCATGAGTTTGCTGGTGAAGTGTATTTCTCATAGCCACACTGCTTTTCTGGTATGTTGTAGAATATCTGTACATCATGTGAAGATATACTGCGGTGACTGGTTTATTAAAGAGCTGAATGGCTGGGCGCTGGTGGCACACGCCTTTAATCCCAGCACTCAGGAGGCAGAGGCAGGAAGATTTCTATGAGTTTGAGACCAGCCTGGTCTACAAGAGTTAGTTTCACGATAGCCTCCGAAGCCACAGAGAAACCCTGTCTCCAAAAACCAAAACCAAACCAAACCAAACCAAAAATAATACAAAACAAACAAACAAAAAAGAGCTGAATGGTCAATAGGTAGGCAGGAGATATAGGAGGGACTTCCAGGCGTGAGGGGTAGGGGGAAGTAGTTCGAGAGATACCAGGAGACACAGGAGGGGGATGGGTGGTACGTAACAGAACACTAATTAAGTTATAAGAGCTAATTTAAGTTGTAAGAGGAATATGCCTAAGCTATAGGTCAAGATTTCATAATTAATAAGATGTCTCTGTGCCATTATTTGAGAGCTGGCTGGTGTAACAGAAAAAGACTCGTTACACATGTAAATAATTACCCTGTTACTCATGTACACCTTACCAAGACAGCTAGAACAGGCTGCTGTCCACTTCCCACTACTGGTCTCACCAGACCTTCTAGCGAGTGAGTATTCCTGGGATCGCATTACTGACGTAAACTGAACAAAAACTAAGTAATAACCTTTCCAAACTGACCTGTCTTCTTCCAACACATTACGGAAGGCCTGACAAACGGAGCACAAAGCCCAGACCGACAGACATGCCCTGTCCTTACCCTTACTCTCCATCCCCACTGCTGTACGTTTTCCTGTCTAATACAAGAAAACGCAAACAGCAAGCTGTGCCAAATGCCAAAGGCACGAACTGCCAGGTCCACACACGAGTCTGACTTCTTACTGACGTAAGTACAGATGTGCAAACGAACGAGTGCATATACATGCCAGTGAGAAAAGACAAAACTCTGAAAGCTATAAATGACTGACTTACCTCGTCTCAGGGTTGTAGCCTAATATGTAGAAGAAGGAGTCCACTCGGGCTTTAAACTCTCGAGCAGCAAATATGTCAGAGAAATGGGAGATGTTACACTTCCCTCTGGGGAAAAACGAAAGAAAAAAGTGTGTTTAAATTGGTTGCTTTGCAAACCAAAAATGCAGCTGGAAGGGGTGAGGGCGAGGGAAGCACATGCCTAAACCCAGAGTGCATGGAAATACTGTGATTGCCTCAGTATCCAACCTTGTACCATAATCGCTTCTACTTCACACTCTGTAATAAAATAACAACATTTAAAGCACAAATATAAAGTGGGAGTGAGCTGTGGTGCTAGACAGCCACTGCGGGTGAGTTTATGTAAAGCAAAAGGAAACTCTTGAGTAGGAGCACAGAATTCACAGCAGCCATGTCTGTGGAGAGCTGCTGGGAGCTGTGCTAGGTAACATAATCAATGAGGGACCTTGAGTGAGATGTCTTTCTATCCCAGGCCACCAAGTTAAAGCAGAGAAATTTTATGGAATTACTTTCTCAGTTTCTATGTGGTGTCTACTTCCTTCCTGTGAGTTATGTGGACACTCATAGAATCACACACCGATCTATGGCTTATGTTTTAAGTAGATGGCTGTGTATATTTATCATGGTGGTTTCTCTAGGTGTGACAATGCACACACAGAAATTAGCAAAGTGCTGGGTGCCAACAAACACGCCCATATCTACGAAGTGCAAAAATTCTACTTGCACACAGACCCCTTAAACAAGATTGACCTAAATACTTCCCTACTCAACCAGGACAAAAGTCAGTACATTCCTTAGACTCGTTTTTTTGTTAATTCACCGCTTCATAAGGTGGGAAATTCATTCATTAAAAAAATTCTTAAATTTGTTTTATTGATATGCTTAGTGCAACTAATTTTCCTTGGATCATTTCTTAAAGATATTCTTAAAGAATACATGGCATTTTTATTTTCATTTGCACAAACTTCTTTTTTGTTTGTTTGTTTGTTTTTCGAGACAGGGTTTCTCTGTGGCTTTGGAGGCTGTCCTGGAACTCGCTTGGTAGTCCAGGCTGGTCTCGAACTCACAGAGATCCGCCTGCCTCTGCCTCCCGAGTGTTGGTATTAAAGGCGTGCACCACAAACGCCCGGCCAAACTTCTTTTCTTTTGGTTTGTTCTGTTCATTGCATCAGAAGTTGTTTTAATAGGCAGCATTAAATTTCTAAGTGTAGAGGAGTTGTATTCTTTTGTTTTTCATGGTAAGCTTCTAATTTATAGCTATGTAATCAGATAGACATTTTTGTCTTACAACTTAATATACAAGCAACTTTTTTTTAAGAACGTGGTAAGTTCATAAAAAACAATGTTCACTATTACCAGAGAGCAAGGATCAACAGTTTTACAATCAAGTGCTTAAGAAAGAAAGAACTGGGCTTCAGGAGCTCATTTCCCACGGAGGGATACTCTTTTAGCCTAGATACACAGGGGAGGGTATAGGCCCTGCCACAAAAGCTCCCTCATGGAAGGCCTCACCCTCCCTGGGGAGTGGATGGGGATGCGATGAGTGGGTCTGTGGAGGGCATGGGAGGAAGGGAGAGAGAGGGAACTAGGATAGATATGTAAAATAAGATTCTTTCTAATTTAAATAAAATTTATATTAAAAAAGAAAGAACTGAGGGAAGCTGGCGTTTGGAGCACACAAGTCATTATAAACCACGTAGAAAATACACTGTGTTCTCAGACAGAAAGTCAACATGGCCTTTTTCCATCAGCTGGTTAACACATTCAATGTAACCATGTGGCAAACACCAGCATCTTTTCACAGAAGGAAACAATGTAACACCAAGGTACACATGGCGAAGCAAATGATTTTAAAAGGGAGAACCTGTCCAGACACAGAAGTACCTACTGAAACTTACAGCACAGAGCCCTTCATCGGCTAGCAGGGCAATAAGGTGCTGCCCAATGGGAGGACAGACTCGGACAAGGTGTGCTGCCCGGCGAGGCACTAGTGTGTGTGACAAAGCAATAAGGATGTTCTAAGTCTGCCCAAGAGATGCAGCTGAAGCTGCAAGACAAAGAGCTCTGCAATACATGAAACTGCTTAATGCATTCTCTTCATCAGGAAATTAACCCACTTTAACCCATAAATGCAATGACAGTTGCTGATGGCAAAGTGATGAGTTAATGCAGGTGAACACAATGAAAACCAGACGCTCTGAATAGTTAGTCAAAAATTCTAGGCCCTGAAATTTAGAAAATTTACCCTAAGTTACCTTTCTGGCATATGAATTCCTAAGCGAGAGGGTAGCATGTAGACTGAACTCTTAGTATATTTCTTTCTTGTGACTCCCAGAAAAAGGAGGCAGAGCGTGAGCAAGCTGGAAAATAGCCCTCAAGTCACGGTCATTACTTTCCTTCCTTTCATTTCTTTCCCCCACTCCTTCCCTTGATGGGAGATGTAGTTCTGTAAATGTCTCTCGTATTGGTTGATGAATAAAACACTGTTGGCCAATAAGAAAGCATGACAGGCAGGACTAGGAGAGGAGGAGGATTATGGGAAATGTAGTAGGGAGTTGCCATGTGATCCCAGGAGGAGAGGACCCAAGAGTCTGGTGTTCTCGGTAAGATAAGACCTTGCTGAAATGATTATATTAGTAGCTATGGGTTAATACGACAGAGCTAGCCAATAAGAAGCCCTAGACAGCTGGGCATTGGTGGCGCACTCCTTTAATCCCAGCACTTGGGAAGCAGAGGCAGGCGGATCTCTGTGAGTTCGAGGCCAGCCTGGTCTACAAGAGCTAGTTCCAGGACAGCCTCCAAAGCCACAGAGAAACCCTGTCTCGAAAAACCAAAAAAAAAAAAAAAAAAAAAAAAAAAAGCCCTAGACATTGGCCAACAGCATTGTAAATAATAGAGACTCTGTGTGTTATTTGGGGTTGATGTGGCTCTGGGACCAGGCTGGCAGGAAGAGTTATTGTAACACTCACTTCCTTTCTTTGGTTTTTTGAGACAGGATCTCTCTACGTAGCCCCAGCTGTCCTTGAACTTACTATGTTAAATAGGCTGGCCTAGAACTCACAGAGATCCGCCTGCCTCTACCTCCTGAGTGCTGGGATTAAAGTCCTGGACCACCACTGCCTGGCTCCACCCAGGGCTATTCCCGACCTCCCGCACTGTCTTTCAGTCAGGGCACTCAGACAGCACGTATTCCAGGTCCCAGGGCAGCCACTCCACACTCCACCATCACCTTAAAGCTTAAAGCAAACTGCAAGAGATGGATGGCCACACGACCACACTCTTTGCTTCCTATACCAAAACCATGTAAATACCCAATCAGTCCACCTACACCAAATACCATCAGTAACATAAGTGTTTCTTCCTTGAACACTAATTCTAAAGACCTCGCTGAGATTCAGTAACTGAAAAAGAACATCAGTGAGACCACCTGTGAGTGCTTTCCACATGCCTGCTGTGGTACACGTTAAATGTTCAGGTAATGAGGCCAATGCTAGGTCGCATGACCCTGGACAAGTGTCAAAAGGATGACACAAAAATCAACAAGTTTGTTTCTGGCCACAAAGCTATGTAACAGCAGCCAAGTCATCCTGTTTCAATTTGGCACTTTTCACCAGTATGGCGCAACGACAACTAAAATGCATACGTGAGCAGTGATTACTCAAGAGGCCGCCTTCTGAGATGGCAGCGACCAGTAAGAGTCACGAAGCAGGCGCCAACATAAAGTCTGTCAGAAACACAAATGTGAGGATGGCCAAGGCTAAAAGGCTCACAACTGGCTCAAAACTGACCACCACACCACACAGTAACCCTGGCCTCCACACACGCTTCTCAACATAGTTCAGACTGAGAATAAATTCCTTTGGGAAGGAAAAGCAAAGATGTCACAACTTACAAAGCAAAGGCTGCAGAGGAATTGTGTTTTCCTTTGGATTTATGGTGACTAAAGGACAAAGCTCTCCTTTCTCTTTTATAGCCCAACTCTAGCACCAGCTTGAAAGAGAAATATAGACATCAGCATCATCCCAAGTGAATTGGACAGCAGAGCCCGGTCAATGGCGGCACACGGCATGAATCCGTGTAACTGAGTCCTTTGATCTTGGAAAGAATGGTGCTAAGAGCCAACACTGTGAGTCTTTTTCTTTTTCCTCTTTTTGTCCCATGGTTTTTTCATTATACTCACTTGATCCCCTTTCATGTGCCCACGAACTGTTTTATTTGTGTCCCCTTCAAAATTGAATTTATCTATAGTAGTACTGGTTTACATGCATGAGAACAAAAAGCACTCTTTCTGTGAGTGAGCTGTAAAAGGAGAAATTGGCAGAAACAGTTGAATCTCAAAGCCTCAATCATCCATTACCTCTCATTCACCAAAATGTTTAAGCTAAAAGTACCCTAACTTTGGAGAAGAAAAAAGTAATGAACCTAGGAGACTAGGACTCTGCCATTCCATTCTGTTTGATGGGTAACCACAAAGGCATCCCAAAACTTTTTATGGTAAGCGTACTACTACTGAGAACGAGGTAAGAGCCATATACTGAGCATCAGACTATGGCAAATCTTCAATAAGATTTACCAAGCCAGACCATGTAGAGACAAAATGACAGCTTATCATCCAGTCACCAGGTCACAAAGGGATGCGTTTGAGCCCAATAAAACAAAACTGGGGTCTGAGAGATGTCTCAGTGGTTAAGGGCAGTAGCTGCTCTTCAGAGCACCGGGTTAACTCTCAGCACCCATATGGCAGATCATATGTAACTCCAGTTATAGGGCCAACAACACCCTCATGCAGGTAAAACACCAATGCAGGCCAAACAAGCAAACAAACAAATAAATAAATAAAACCTTTAGGAGGGAGGGAGGGAAGGAGGGAAGGAGGGATGATACCGAAATTGGAGAAGTTTCCTTAAATGAGAGATGAAGACTACACTTATTCGTATTTGTGGTTATCTAATACCAAATGGTCATTCTTGAAAATACTCATACAAATAACATTATACAGACTGTGCAGGCTGTACTTACGTATTTAGGAATATACACAGTACATATCTATATGTAACAACAACTAATGCAAAAAAGAGGCCATGAATTTAAAAAAGAACAAGGAAAAAAAATACCATATAGGAGGGCTCGGAGGAGAGAAAGGAAAGTGAGATGGTGTAATTATATTAATCTCAAGAAATGAAGCATATTTATGTATGTATGTATGTATGTATGTATGTATGTATGTATGTATGTGAGATAGGGTTTGTCTGTATAGCTTTGTAGACCAAGCTGGCCTCAAACTCACAGAGATCTATCTGCCTGCCTCTGACTCCCAAGTGCTGGGATTAAAGGCGTGAACCAACACTGGCCAGCAAAACAAATCATTATTAAAAAAATATAGGTGAAGGTTTTGTACCAGACCTATTAGCTTTTGGACAACTTTTAAGATACCACAAGATTAAAAACCTAACCGTCAGAAAGGATTCTAGTCAGATACCCTGGAAAAAGAACTGCGTATACTGCTACTAGAAAAGCTAAGATTCAGGGGCCATGACAGTGGCGTACAGCTTCTCATTCCCAGAGGGAGTAGAGCAAGACTATCCAGAGTAAAACAAATTTGTGAACAGCTGGGGTTAAAGGAGATACACAGTTCTTCTAAAATGCTAAAAGTTAGGTGAGAATTCCATATCAAATCCGAAGAGCAAACATTATTCATTTTAAGCCACTACGTCAAAACATATTGGACAACCAATTACACCTCACATCATTTCCTTAACTAGAACCTGAAGTCCTTTAAAATCATGACCTCAATCAGTGAGGCGATGGAAAGATGGAACAGAAGGCAAATCAGGACAAATGCTAAGTTCGTCAGCTGTCCTACATTAAACATTTGCTTATCAACCTAGTCAGCTTCATTAACTTGCTTTGCTCAACACGCAAGCTTAATATTGAAGCCTGGAAAACACCTTCAAAGGACAGAGGAGGCTTATGGAAATTGGGGTTATAAATCACCACAGGGGCTGGAGAGATGGCTCAGAGGTTAAGAGCACTGACTGTTCTTCCAGGGTTCCTGAGTTCAATTCCCAGCAACCACATGGTGGCTCACAACCATCTGTAATGAGATCTGGTGCCCTTTTCTGGCAAGCAGACAGACATGCAGACAGAACACTGTATATATAAATAAATCTTAAAAGAAAAAATCGGGCTGGAGAGATGGCTCAGAGGTTAAGAGCACTGACTGCTCTTCCAGAGGTCCTGAGTTCAATTCCCAGCACCCACACGATGGCTCACAACCATCTGTAATGAGATCTGGCCTGCAGGCAGACATGCAGATAGAACACTATATAATGATAAATAAATAAAATCTTTAAAAAAAAATCACCATAGACTGTCTCAAAATGTAGTGAAAGTTCCAGAGAAAGTCAAAGTTAACACACCCACCCCTTCACATGGTCCCATTGCCTGTTTTTACATAGTAAAAGAGAACAATTTTAAATTGTTAAATAATTGAAAAAAGTGAACAAAATATTTAACAAGTGAAACTTAAATAAAACTCCTACTTTCCATTTTTAAAAAGGCTCAACTGGACCACAGCCAACACATTTATGTGGTTGCTCCACAGTGGCCAAGACGAGTGAACAGTTGATACAAAGGCCATTATGACATATACCTGAGACCCAGTGTTTGCACAAACCAGTTCTATATAAACGTCCCTTCCCTTCTGACTAAAGTAACTGGCTCTATCTTTCCAGCTTTGCATGAGAGACCCAAGACACTGCCCCTGAACATGTGACTGGTGAGCATTATGTGAGAAAAGGTTACATCTCACTCTAAGTAGTTAAAGTCAACAAATCTCAATGGCTTTTATTGTACCCATATTCTTAACAGAGATTAACGGTTTTGTTGCTACTTGGCACAGCTTATTATTTATGATTTACAGAGTAAAGAGCTATGATATTAGCTACCATACTTCCTACATCACATAAGAGGCTCCAAATCAGACAGGCATACAGACACCATGTGAGCAAGGCGGCAGACCCTGCTCTGGGGAGAGCACAAGTACAGAACAGAAGGACACACTCACTTTATAGCAGAGTCCCCTGACATCACAACTGGATATAACTGACGTCCCTTCAACACTTCAGCATGGTTTTAGTAAAAATATTCAGAAATAAGAAGGAAGAACTAGTAGAAATTTCTCTAAATTCTTAGGCTTTCTATACCTAGCAGGCCAGCACATTTGTCTTCTCTGTTTTGGTTTTCATCCTCTCTTCATCTTTCTAGCAATAGGGCTTGCTCTTTACAAAGTCAACCGCAGATTTGCAGACCATTTCACCTTAAAAGCTTTCATGAATAGTACTGGGATACTCATTCCCCTGTAGGACACACTGATACAGGAAATATGTAAACATATCAGAAGGAAAATACAGGGAGGGGTACAGCAGCCTCTGGAATCTCAGTAACCCAGGGAACAGCGCAGTGTTAGCTCGGCTAGACCATGAGTTGCCTGACTGAACACAATGAGGACCAAGCAGAGCAGGGCGGGCGGAGTCAGCTCTCCCCTCCAGACTGTGCCTCACCCCTGCATTCTCACCTCAGGGCAGCAGCATGGTATGTGTCCACATAGTCGGAAATGAAGAGCTCCCGGTTCTTGATGACTGGATCTGTGATGACAAGCTCTCTTCCAGAGTCTGCAAACAAAAGAAATCAGTTAACCAAATAAGAAGATATTAAAACAGCGTTTCCTAAAACAAGCAGGAAATTTTTGCAAAACTCTTTCCTCCAGTCTATCTCCTACTAAAGACTAATGATAAACCCTACTTATTATCAGAGCCCGGCCAGTAAGGAGTGACAGAAGGACACAGTGCACAGCTGATGACTGGGACTGTCCAGCAGACTTTCCTAAGTCCCTCTGTGCCCTGCAAAGCCTTCACAAGCACCGTTTAGAGAGAGGAGCGCACTGGCACATCCCAGCAACTTGTTAACTCTCTGGGAAGGAAGGACTTCTGGATTTCATTTGTTTAACTGTGCTCGTGTACATGTGGATGTGCTTGTGTTTGGTCAGCACACTCCACAGCAGTGTACGCTGTGCTCCGAGGATGACTTCTTTTCCACCATGCTGGTCTGGGTACTGAGCACAACTGTCAGGCTGGGCAGCAAGCAACTTCACCAGCTGAGCAATTTTGTTGGCCTTAGGATATATGACTATATACTTAAAGGACCTGTCCATTTTATGTTTTCTGTCTGCCTGTTTCTGAGTGACAGGGTCTCAGCACAGGACGGCTCTGAAGTTGTCACGTATCTGAGGCTGCCTTGAACTCCCGAATTTTAGGACTACAGCTATATATCACCACCATCTGGCCCCTATCTATTTGCTTACTGCCAAATATGCCAAAATAGAATGAAGCCATACACTGACTGGACTGAAAAGAATTATTAAGCTATTTTTTAAATCATAATTTACTTGACATTTATCTTTTCAAAGATGTTTTTTAAAAGTCTATGAAAAGCTCACTGTGGCTGGGACCTATCAGAGAAGCAGTGTGAGTGGCGTAACACAGTCAGTATGTCCTTGGCTACCATAGCCTCTCTAAACTCAACTCTTCATACAGAATGCCAGGGCAAACCATCTCACACAGCCTGGGATGACTGACAGTAGGAGCATGAGGCTCCTCTCAAGAACTGACTTTCAGAAAGCCACCACACACCTCCATAAATGTTGCACATAGTACATGTACACACAACTCATATGACACCAAAGGCAAGGGTGCAAATCAGCTGCCAGACACCACCGTCCTGTCCTGAAAGCAGCTCCTAACCCACATTCCCAAGTGTAACTCAGAAAGCTGTTTCTGAAAATGGGTGCTCTCTGCCTGTGATGTGGGGAAGCACAGTATACAGTCTCCTGGAAGGGCAAAGGGCTATAATACTGCTGGCCACAAAATAAAATATAGGAGCTTAAAGAGCTACATTCCTGCTATTTTAAAAAATAAATGCATTAGCACAGACTCAGAGGGGTTTTCTTGATTTCTTTCTATCTATCTATCTATCTATCATATTTTCTTAATGCTTTTAAAATCAGTCAGATGGTGATAATGCATGTCTTTAATCTCCACACTTGGGAGGAAGAGGCTCTGTGAGTCCAATGCCAGCCTGGCTTACAAAGTGAGCTTCAGGAAGGCCACAACTATTTCACAGAGAAATCCTGTCTTGAAAAACAAACATTTTAAAATCATGTACATGCATGTATGTGCTTTATTTGCATCAGGTGTTTACTGAGGCCACAGGCACTGGATCCGCTAGAAATGGAGTTACTTACAGGCAGTTGTGAGCTGCCTGCTGTGGGTGCTGGGAACTGAATCTGGATTTACTACTAGAGTAGTAAATGCTCTTATCAGTGAGCTATCTCTTCAGCTCCCTCTTTTGTTGTTTGTGTGATTGTTTTTAAGGGAAAAAAATGCAAAAGCAAAGGTGAGAGGATCCAGTAAGCTCTTTTGAGAGAAATCCATCAGAAGCCATCTCTAACTGGTATTTTTAAAAGGAGCTTTATCCGAAGTTAAGATCGAAAAGTATGGCATTGCGAGGGCACACGTACCATTTTCATTATGCCGATCCTGAACCAAATGCTGATAGACAGAATCTGGAACTTCAGACTGGCGGTAGTACCATTTGACGTTCATGAGCAGATGGTCCCTCTTACTCTGAAAAGGAAAATCTAACAGCATTAGGAACAGGCTTCAGGCCCTGCAAGTGCATATCATACCTACGACCAACAGCCCTGTACACAGTAGACAGGCAAAAAAGCAGGGGTACAACAACCATCAGCAGCGCAACCCCTGGGTTCCCGGCACCACACCCCTCAGACCACAGCCCTCAAAACTGCTCGTTTCCGTAAACAAGAGAGATGATCCTGAAGCTTCTCAGTGTGATTAATTCATTCAGTAATGCTGGGCACTGCATGAGCACATACTTCTACCTTAATCCTTAACAGTCTTGGTAATGATGGTCAGAGCACATTACTGAGGCATATTAAAAGTAACAATCTGGAAAGAACTTACCCAGAGACACCTGACAGTCTCTTCCCCTCCAAGGTTTGCCTGTCACAAACTGTCTCAGATTCTCCCTCCACTGTGGGCCACAGAACTGTCTGGAAGTCACGGCTGCATGCCAGAATCACGAAGCACACCACGGGGAATGGGTGGTGACGAGAATCTGTGCCCACACAACAGGACCTGCCTTATTTACCTCTGACTCCTGAGGACAGAGCAGCTCACACATAACTATTGGTAAAAGAAAGAGCCCGAAGCTGACCATCGTCGTGTAAATGTCTGAAGGACAACTAACCATATATTTTCAAAAGTTAACTTTGTTTTCAGCTCAATCAAAAACTAAGGTACCAGATACTGCCTCTTCTATTTGAAGGATACAGGGTATAGCTGTGTGCTTGTGTGCTAGGCTATGGGATAGTTAAATCCAGTGAGTACTGAGGTTTCCCGGGATTAATAAAACAGATTTAACCCAAGTAAAGTCCGTGCAATCCCTCTTGGCAGCTTCTACCTTTTTGCACAAGTTCACAAACCACAAGTGCAGAGGCTAAAGCTAAGGGAAAATGCCTCATGTTTGGAAAGAGGCCACGTTAATTCTGAAACATTTCAGGAATCTTTAATGAAGAAAGACACATCTTGGTTTAATAAAGGGGCAAGAATAGGCTGCTCTACAAGATGAGCAAGGGCAGGAAAAGTACTGTCTCTAGTCTTAGCATAACTGAGAATGTGGATGCTCTCCCACAGTAACTATCATAAACACCACGATTCTTACTGCATTAACTGCCAAACAGTATGACTACAGAACAGGATATAGCTATTGGCTTATGTTAAGCAGACTATGCATACAAAGGACAATGTGTAGGTCTTAGTTTTCACTCATTCATACTTTTACATTGGAAGGGTCAATGGCAAAAATCAGTTTGCATTGTTTAGTCTACAGAAGAAAAACTGAGGACAAACAGTATAAAAAGGTTCACAGAAAAATTCTGAATGTAAGCGTTGAAAGAAATGTGTAACCTGTAGAAGAAAGAAAAGACCTCAGTGCACTGCTTCTAAGCAAAGGTGGGAACCAGAAAGAAACACAGATCATCTGGGAGACCAGTGCGCAGCACAAAACACTACACGCGAGTACTGAAAGAAGCAGATCCTGGCCACAGTCTGGCCTCCATGGGTTTACAGACCAACGGGGTCTCTGAACTTACCTGTGACCCCACACACAGGCTCTGAAGAACAGAACATGTGACGGCACCACACATGCACCTTGTAGGCATAAGGCTTATTCTGCCAAGGCCCCAGGAAAATACTTGTCCCTCCCTCCATTTCATTCCAAGTTGAGAGAGGAAAGAACAGGACCAAGTTGGCGTAGCTACTGAGGAAGAACAGAACCCAGGGCCTGCTGGGGTGTGCAGTATGAATTCACTGCAGTAATATACACTAGCATAAGCCTGCTTGTCTTTGCACTCCTGACATGCGAACAGGTAATTCTGTTGCCCTGCCCTGCTACTGTTGATGGAACACTCTCCCCAAGCTGTGGCAGCTAGAAATATCTGTAAGTAGCATAGCTCAGTCTCTCTCTCTCTCTCTCTCTCTCTCTCTCTCTCTCTCTCTCTCTCTCTCTCTCTCTCTCTCTCTCTCTCGTCTCTGTCTCTCTCTCTCTCTCTCTCTCTTTCTCTCTCAAATAAAGTCAAAGTTGGTTGAAAACCATAAATCCAAAAGATATTATTGCTACTGTTATTAGTATTCAAAAACCAAAGCCAGAGTGATCCCATGAACCCTGCTGAAGCACCAGAGAATAGAGGACACAGTTAACTAGAAAACAGGGAAGCCTACCGTCATGAACTCCAATGCTGTTACCACCCGTATCTGTGTGACCCTGGTAACTTTCTAAGATTCTGAATTTCTCTTTTGTCCTGTAAATGTGAATAATTTAAAGAATTCGTGAAAGCTGTAAAGACTACATCATATGCCAGGTGAATGCTTAAAGCTCCATAGTTTGTCAAAAACCCTGTCGAAACATGGGCCACTTTTCCTCCAAGACCAGCCTGTGTGAGGGGCGGTGGTCATGTCTAGCAGATGCTCACAAGCTCACTTCCCACAGCAGCCAGAGCTCTGGCTACCAGCAGCCCAGCAACTGTGCTCTAATACCTAGTTATCCATGCATTCCTGCAACACGTACAAGATGCCTGAAAACCTGAATGGCAATTTTTAAGTTGTCTGTTTTTTCTGAACCTAGCAGGAGATTCTGGAAACCGTTAGTTAGATGTGCCATTTCTACATCACTAGTTACGAAGTGACCCAAGCATGCCCACTGATTTCATACAAGAAAACAAACAAACAAAAAACCTACTCTGGCTCATTTGTAGATTTGAAAAGCTGCTGACATCCTGATGTAGTCCTGCCCAATGGCCAGGGGGCGGCACTGTTGCGTCAAAGAAAACACCAGCACTTAAAATATACTTCATTCCACAGATAACAGCACAACAAAGGTAGACTCAAACGAAATGTGCTTTGAAATAGGCCAGTAGTTTAATGAAAGACTAACAGTCTATAAAGGAATGCGGACGGCTATTTCAGAGCACTAGGCTAAGCTGTATGGCAGGACTGCAGTTCCGTCTGGAACCACTAGTTAACTGCGCGTGTGTGCGTGCGTGCGTGCGTGCGTGCGTGTGTGTGTGTGTGTGCACGCGCATGTGCGTGGTGTGTGTGCAGGGATGGAAAGGACAATGGAAGTCTGTGATGTCTTCCTGTTTTATTTTATATCTAGATGTCTTCCCCAGAGCAGACCCAGGAGACTAAAGGGAATTGAGGTGCATCTGCTCCCTGGCATTAGTTAGCTAGTATTACCATCCTACAGGATTAGAAAGTGTAGAGTCTTCTCTGGAGGACACCGTCTGCTGCGAGAGGGAGCGCCTCTTCTCAGGTCAAACGACGCCATACTGGGGGTTGCTGAACATTAACCATAGGAAGGCCTCATTTGATTCTTACTCCTCGCTCAAAATCACAGCCAAACAATGCATGCAGGAATCATGTGACTCAGCCCAAACTCCCTGGGTCTGAATCCTGGTTTTACAAGGAGCTAAACTTTGGCTGTGTGTGAATAACTTCTGGCCTCGGCTTTCACACAATCTGCATCCCTCCTCCACTAGGCTGTGGAGATTGGGTTCCCTCACAGGACCTGAGTGCTTATCACTCAGGAAACCTTCATTACTGTCACCGTTCTAGAGGCAAAGAACCAGCCACAGGTTTTACTTTTCTCAGCCTCATTACTACTGACAGTAAAGGCAACATAAAGACAAGACATGTAGGCACGGGGTGGGAGGGAAGGTAGGCTTGTCACTTTAAGAACCCCAGGAGCAAATCAAGTGTCTTAAATAGCACTTACCATTTACTAATAATACAATCAAACACTAACATAAATCTCACAATTTCTGGCCTTCACTAAATACTGAAGCAAGAGGAGACTTCCACGGTGAGAGCCTGGGCAGTATTCCTAAAGGAACAAGAAACACCCACTAGGAAGCAAAGGCTTTTCACCAGCTTCATTCACAAGAAAGGAAGATTGGGAGGCCAGAGACCAGAGGGTCCAAATGGGCCCAGCTATTTGCTAGGGGAGGTCTCACAAGAGCTGCTGGGTTTGCAGGGGAGGTGGAGGTGGTGACATCTCTAGGTTAACAATGGAATTCTTTTACATCAATGGCTTGACTCTCCCTGAACTGAAAAATACATGTAAATTTAAGGCATGAGCAACCATACAATGTACATGCAACACCCCCCCACACACACACAAACACACACACACACCTGAAGTCACCTCTCAACTCTAATTATAGAGTCAAAATTTAATAAGGCTCTGTCTACCTAGTTGTCCACTGCACATCAACAGTGGCATTTTCAGGCAATTAGACATTGTGTTTGCAGTGAGGGAGACCTATTTCTTGGCTTTCTTTTGTAAAACAAGGTTTCATGCAATCAAGGCTGGTCATGAACTATGTAGCCAAGATTGGTCTTGAATGCCTTGTCCTCCTGCTTCAACCTCCCACATGCTGAGACTGCAGGAGTATGCCACACTGCTTGGCTGTGTTGTCCTTAATACTAAATGCACACACAGGTAAGTGATATGTCAAGAGGGATTTGAGATGTGTCGTGAGACAAACAGAGCAAGCTAAAAGCACATTCTTGTGTATATCACCACATACACTATTTTGACTGGTTAGTGGTTGTGATTACTACTGGGTATCGGAGTGGATAAAGGACAGACAGCAATGCACCACTTCCGTTGGTGTCTATGCAAATGCTTGGGGGCCAGTGTATGACTGTGGGATGAGTGAGGCAGACCCCACCTGCACAGGGGCGGCGCCATCCTATCAGCACAGGGCCTCGCAAACTAAGAACAAAGGGAAGGTCAACTCACTTTCTGCTGGAGCCTTAGCTTCTAGGACTCTAACCCCAGATCCACTGAGCCATGCTACCAGCTTTCCCAGGTCTCCAGTGTGCAGTGGCCCATGATAAGATCTCGACACTTCCATATGTGAGCCATCCCCATGCCCCTCTCCTATCTCACTGGTTCTGTCCAGAGAGCCCAGGTTCAATTCCCAGCACCACATGGCAGTTCACAACTCTCTATGATCTGGTGCCCTTGTACAGACAGACATACA